AAAACAAAACAAAGCAGGTTTTTCCTTTTAGCAGAGCTGCCCATGGATTTCCCACTTTTGCAGAGATCTCTGCAGGCTGGCAGAGTTCCAGCCTGCAAGAGCATCTTGCAAAAGAGGGTGGCAAACCTCCAACCCTATCCAGAAGGGGAGGGCAAGAGGGCAGGGCCTAAGGCTCTCAAGAGAAGTGACCTGAGCAGTGTGTGGAGCCCAAGGCAAATCTTCCCATGCAGGGCCCCACCCATGCTCCGATCCTAGACCCGGAGAAGCTGCCGCAGCCATTGGCACAGGGGGTGGGAGCAGACTGCAAGTCACTGGATGTGGAGCTGCTACTCTGCTCAGTTCCACCTGGCTCCACAGGGCCCCCCCAAAACACAGGGCCCCAGGGCAGTTGCCCTGATTTGCACGCTGCCCCCCTCAGGATGGCCCTGGCTCTCAGTCACCCAAGACTTAGCTCAGGCTCTCTTTTCCTTCCTGGAGCTGGAGCTAAGTGCGGCTTCCAGGGGGCCGGGGACCTCCCTCTGGCAGGGCTGGAGGGCAGGGAGTAGGCATGTGGATAGGGGCCGAGGAAGTGGGGAGGTGTTGGGGGAAACCCCACATGGAGGGCCCGCCCAGCCAGCAGCACATGGACCAGGAGCTACGCCCTTAAAGACAACCCGCACCCCCAACAACAACCCAAACAAAAAACCCGCTCAGGCCATGGGTTTGGGGACTCCATGCTTCTGTGCATGTCTTCAGGTAAGCCGCACATGGAAGCTTAGAGCCTGCTCAGACCAATAGTGTGCAGCTCCCGGTCCACCCGCCACTAACCGGGAGAGCTTCTCACCTTCATTTGCGGCTTCCTGCAGGAGTGTGGGAAGCCCCACAAGGTGTAGAGCCCACTTGGCCAATAGGTGGCAGTTCCTGGTCCACGTACATAGGCCAGGCTGGGTGGGCTGTGCGCTTGTGTGCAGCTTCCTGTACTCCTGTGGGATGTTGCACCTGGAAGCGCAGAGCCCGCTCAGGCCAATAGCGCGCAGCTCCCATATGCACTCCCCACTCGCACCTTCCTACATACTCCACACTCTCATGCCCAGCCCCCCCATATCCATATCCAATACCTTCACAAATCCCCCCCACACACCCATCCGTACAAAGTACCCACATATATTTCTAAAGAAGGTTCAAATAGTGTTATATTTAGTTTACTTTGTAAAAGAGTACTTAATTTTGCATAATTGAGTTTTCCTGCACATACATTCCCTGGGTTGTACACCTTGTGGGATTGCCTAGGGACTTCTTCACAGCACACTACCTCCCAGCCAGGAATCCTGCCCCAAGCCTCCCACCTGTTCACAGCCCCTGCAAGCATACTCTCAGTCTCCCATTGCTCCACAGATTCTAGAAGCCTGCCTGTCCCCCTCCCTTTCCACCTCCTACATGCTACAACTGCATGTAGTGTTAAGCAGGCTTTGGAAATGGGCATTTGGAACTAGTTGATCTTAAGCAGTTGTAAAACTAAGAGTCCACTAAGAAAGCAGTAGCATGTATTTACATGCTGTTTATGTACATTTAACTCCATTCTCTGTTAAGAATATAGACTACAGGAGTGAAAGAGAAAAATAAAGAAAGTGTGATAGAAGTTGCGAAAAAGAGAAAAAAATCCCAGGATTCACAATAGAGCAGTGAGACAAGTCTGTGTGGTAGCAGCGAGTATAACATTTTATCTTTATGTGTTTTCATGCAAGTCAATGGTTTTTATAGTTTAAATAAGTTGTTATAGGTAGTTTTAATGAAAACTGAACAAGTCACCTCAATCTGACTGGTGGGGTAACTGGTGACACCTATTTAACTCATAACCACAGTCTAACCAGTGACACAAGTCTGGTGACCCCAGTAATTATTTGTGGCTTGATTCCCCATTGCGGTTCAGTAGGATAGGCCAAATGAGGTTCAGTTCTAGTTTAGGGTCAAATCAAAACACCAGTTCCAACCAGTTCTTAGGTTCTGGTTCAATTCCAGTTAGATTCCCAGCTGGAACAAGCAGCAGTGGAACAGACACCCAGGGAAGCTGTGAGCTTTCCTTCTTTAACACCTCCAGTGCAGAGGTTTGTTAGCCACCATTCAGGGGTGTCCCAAAGTTCCTGCTTAGACTCAGCCCTGGACAGTCCTAGCTACAGGGTCTTGCCCTTCTGGCTCAGGGTCAGACTGATGCTGTATTAGGGTCAGGAATGAATTTTCCCCTGGTCAGACTGGTACAGACTGCGGGCAGTTGCCTTCCTCTGCAGCAGGGGCACAGCCTCTGCTTGGAATCTCGCAGCAGCTGCCAAGCATATGCACTGGGGCAAGCCCCACAGGCAGTGCCAGCTGACACCTGGCAGCCCTGTGTTGCCTCCAGGTCCCCATGTTTCAAGGCTCCAGTAGGGCTTGCCACAATTTGCTCTAGGGGAAAGGCATCCCACCTTTTCTGTGAGGGGTAATGGCATATCAGGGCTGTTCAGTACCATAAAACAGTGTGGAGTGGGGGCAACTGCAGCTGGACCTACATCCTGGTAAGTAAGGGGGGGCAACAAACACTGTGATCTTTTATGATGAAAAACCCAAAAATCAAACACTAAAATTTATTGGTATTTAGCATTTATTCTATTACAGTGATTGAAGTATTAGTAGGCTTCCAAATTGCTTTAAAAAACTGTAAGTATATCAATAAAACATTGTGTTGAACTGATACCCATATACATAACAGCCTTTCAATTTAAAATCATAGGATTGTGGGGTTTAAAAAACAAACAAACAAAAACAAAAAGACACCCCAAAGAGAGAATTTGCAATTTTTTTTTATTTGATAAAATCAGGATCCCTGCTTAACACGTACTGCTTGAGAGCTAGATACAAGATCATAAAAGACCCTTGCATTTACCCTGCAAAAAAAAATTTACCCATTTCAAGCACTTTACATTTTTTGCAGGGTAAATGCAAGGGCCTCTTATGATCTTCCCTCCCAACAGTAGAACAAATAAATTCATGTTCATTCTTCAGATTTTGCTGAGGGCTTTACCGATAGAGGCATCCGAGTGAAGTATCCATGGCTTATTAAGTGAAGATAAGCTGCAGCAGAGGTATTTGTTAGTACATTAGATTGACTCAGGACATTTGGGCTTATTTGCAGCTTTGCCAATGACACCATGTACAGTGCTGGGGTGAGCCAATTTGTCACCAAAATCGTTATTTCCCCATCCCATCCCGTTTTGGATATTCAAGCTATAAGCTCTTCAGGGCAGCAACCATGCTGGTACTATGCAGCATACAACAAGGCAACTAGTCCCATTTGCTGTTGGGAGACTTTGGGGCAAAGACAGATGTACATATGCCCAAAGGTAATCTGCATCAGTTTTGCTTAATTATGTACCATGAAAGTTACACCATGATCAAGAATGGAAACATGCAGAAAGCCTCAGGTAGTTCATATGGTAATAAAGGGTCTTGCTGCTAGGCAATGACAGAACAGGTAATAGCCTCTTTCTCTTTAGCAAGCTGCTACTCCAAGATGGAGGGAGAAGATCTAAACCAGAGATGTCAAAGATATGGTCTGCAGGCTGGATCCAGCCCACTAAGCCTCACCATTCAGCCCCCGGTGCTGCCCCAAGGTCTTATCAAACCTACATAGGGCAGGATGCATGCTGGACCAGCCCTGTGAGCAGGGCCTGGAATGCCTGCCTCAACTGCAGTGCAGACCCCAACTGCAGTGCAGACCCCAAGCAGCTGTAAGGGGTGCTACATGAAGCACAGACTGGATGCGGGTGTGGGGCATAGATCACAGAACGGCTGAAGTGGGCACTGTGCTGCCCACAGTACCCACGCCAGCCAGACTGTGCTGCATGCAGCACCCATTTGGGCAACCATGCTGCACATCGCACCTGCAAGCACCACATGCAGCACAGGTCCCAAACTGGCTAGGGCAGGTGCTGCATGTGGTTTAGTCTGGCCAGGGCAGTCGCCATGTGCATCCACTCCAGCCAATCTAGGATCTGTGCTACATACCTCCAGCTGGACTGCACTACACATGGCACATGTGCCAACTGCTCCATGATCAACATCACATGCAGTGCAGGTCCCAGACAGGCTGGAACAGACACCAGACCTGGTATGCTGTGTGGGGGGGGAGAAACAGGACTGGACAACAGTTGGAATCCTATGGGCTCTATCCAGTCTGTGGACTGGCCCCATGCCACTCACCTAGTCTACAGGGCCAGATAAGAGTTCCGCACCCCGATCTAAAACCCTTAGACCAATAGCATTTTAACCACAATTCTTCCATGGGGAAAATTCTCTACCAGACTTGGCAGTTACACCAATGTAACTGGCACTGTACTACACTAGAATTGTTCACTTCCCCATAACATACCACAGTTAAGGCATTTGGTATGTTACATGTGTCCAAGTTCTTAATACATTAAAAATGTAATTTCAACTTTTCTTGTCCCCTTATCTGGAGAAGTCTGCCTCTCATTCTGCAGCTTCTGCCCATGTCCCATAGCATGCATCTTGTGATCCAGAATTTCTACAGGATTTCCAACTTGTAAACTCAAGATACATCAAGCCACACTTTTTTCATCAGTCTCTCTTGTAGTGCAACACAACATAGACATACTGCAGTTGCATCATACCACTTACACGTTAGGGCAGGTTGCGGTATGAAAAAGAAGTGTTACACAACGGTAATGTCTCTTACAAAAAACCTCTTTTTTGCTGACCCAGGGAAAGTAGATGCAACACATTTAACTCCTGCAAGTTCTGGGTTTTGTTTTTTGGGGTTTTTTTCTACCAGTACATTCCAATTTACCTGTGCACACACATTTGAGTCTCTTCAGAGCTGAATGTACATTTCAGTAAGTGTATGCTGGAAAATACTTTTTTGGCACCATCATTCACTACTGAACCTCTTCACGGAAAAAGATAGTGGAGGTGTCATACTTTAAGCTTTAATCTTGATAACTCCTCTTTTAAAGAGTAAGCATACTAACCTTTACAGTTGATGTTAAGAGGTATTATTCCTTTATCCATGTTTTCCAGCAACTGTCTAACTTCTTCAGAGTTTCCATTTCTGGCATCATGAAGAAGCTGTTGCTCTGCTTCAGTGCTCATCTCTAAATAATAAATGCAGACTATTAGTTATTACAGCAGTACTATACCCCTCCCCACAACAACAGAGACAAACAGCATGAAATATAACTTGCTATTGAGGCAAAGTGATCATCTTGATTACCAGACAAGCCACGGAACATCACATAGTTAACTCATGCCATGAATTCAGAGGCCCACTCAGGTTCATGTGACTGGGGTGCTGATCCTTAAAACTCAGCTTTTGCTGTTAAGACCCAAATGAAAGGTTCTCTTAAAAAGTTTCCCTCCAACTCAGATAAGCCCACCTGTCAACCATCAGGTAGTCTTTCATCCCCATCTTGATTTTCAAAGAAGTACAATTTTCTGTACCCTGGCTAGTCCAAAAGCTTGTTTCAGGATAAACTAAAGTATTTTTAGCAATGCAAGTCAACTGAAGACCAGTGCCACTAAGCACATGAAGTTCCAGGTACCTACTGGCTACTCAAGTCAGAGAAATATCAAGCAATCTAAAAGGGACTTAATATTACTAGAAAATAGGCTGCTGTAAGACTATGGCTTAACTGATGACAGGACTGCTATTGCTAATGACCGAGGATCTTGCATCCTTTTTGGTAAAAGAACCATGAGATTGCATGATTGTTGTTCCCTTCAGACATGTAAGTGAGCCATCATACTATGCTAATAAAAAGTTTTAAATAAGCCTGTTGATAAGAGACACTGGGTGCATCTACACAAGACACTTCGAGTGCAGTAAACTAGTTCTACAGCATGCACAACCTATGCTAGCGCACAGTCTACTATGCATTTATGTCACCAAAAAAGCATGAGCCAGTGCCAGTGTGCAGTAGCACCAGTTACAGCACATTAAAGGTAGTACCTACAAGTACAGATACTAAACTTAATGTGCCATAATTATGGCACATTAATGAATGTGCAAATGTACCCAGTATCAACTAGTCAAATTATTCTCTGGTGTGGCAAAACAGCTTAAGGAGGCTGGATCCATTGCGATCCAGTACAGTCCACGTGGTGGCAGGCATGTGTGACCCAAGGGTGAAGGGGAACATCTGCAGCAGCAAAACGTATCATCACTGGGCAGACGTGCTGGTGAACAGAGTCAGGGAGGCAGAAACGCAGGAGGTGGGGGGAAGTAGAAGGGGGTCCACTTTCCTGTGCCCATTCCCCCACCCTCCCCACAAGAAATGCAGTTTTTCTGTCTTCCCAAATACAGTATTAGACATTTGAAAGTTTTCCCCACTTGCTGACTGCTACAAATCAACTGTCTCAGAGTCAGTCTCATAAAAAAAGAGTTCCTTAAGTCAGACATGATTTAGGACTCCTTTGAACAGGTTCAAGCAGCAGCCTGTATACAACAATGGTCAAGTCTACTACATGTGGTGAATTACTGTTCAAGAGCATCAGCAGATGACTAGGTTAGCAGGCTACGGACACAAGGCATATCTCAACAAGTCCCCACGATGCACACAGAGCTGGCTGGCCTACACCCTAGTCTTGCAGAATCTAGACTAAAAATAAAAATTGGAAAAATTTTTGCCCTTATGGTTACAGACTTATTAATACTTGGAAGATCCTGTGTAATGATCAATATTCCTGTGTCCACAGACATTTTCCACGTACTCTGCTGTTTCCTGTTAGTTTCCCATGCAGGAAAAGTAGAAGGCCAATTGAGCAGAGCTCTGGAACTAAACAGTTACAGTCGGCTGAAGTAGGAACTCACTGCATCACCCAGAAAGGATATACTTGTGGAGGCTATACACCCAGACAAGTTATCCAAATGCTAGTTGTTTCTAGACTTGACGCAAACCTCCAAATTTCACAGCCTAGCAGCATAAGGCCCAAAATGACATGCCAGGAATTCTGCTACACATTTTGTTATTTCTTTAGTAATTATCTGGTTGAGAACAAAGGTCACCCACCACCCCATTTGGACAAACAAGTCCAGGGAGGGGAGTGGGAAGAAAGAAAGCAAGATAGGTCAAGTTAATAGTTCACAGTATTGGTTCTCAACTCTGAAGTGCACTGCCTTTTTTGGTGGCTCACAGAATGCAGAGTTTTAAGAATCAAGCAATGGGAATGGTAGGAAACAAAACACTTGCATTTTCTGCTTTCTCCAAAAAAAGGGAAGGATAATCACTTGTTTGAAACAAGGTTCCTCAGCAAGATTCTCTGTCTGAAGTCAAGAGGTACATTCCTTTGAGGTGCTTCTACTATGACATTCTATCACTTGCAAACATGCCATATTAACAGTGTGCAAATACTACAGTGCACTCTCAATGTATCAGCTGAGAAGGGGCCTCTCTGCAATCCTATTTGACACTATATTCTCCCTTCCCTCATCTTTGGGTTAGGAGATTCTCTTTTTGGTAACCCATCCAGTTGCTCCACACATTGTGTGTAAACACCAGCAGAGCAACCATTCTTTTGATCAGCACTCTGCCCTACATTACTAGAACCATTTGAGCACTGAAGACCTATAGAGGAGGCATGCAGACACTGAACAAGAGTCTTTTGTCCTAAAGTCACTGTCACAATTTAGAGGTAACAAACAGAAATTAAAAAACAAACAAAACCTGGAACAATTTCTCCTCTCTCGTACCCAAGAGTCAGAAGGTAGAGTAGATGCGTAATGCCAAGATAGAACAAGATAAGTTTATTCTAGTACTTTAATCTCCAATTACTTTCTCTAACTCTTCCATCTTGAACATACTTTAAAGGGAAGAAACATGACTTACTATTAATCATGG